CCCCCCCCTCTAAACCCACTCTCCCTCTCTGCTTCCCAGAACCAGCCCGCGATGGAGCCGCCTCCCCGCGGCCCCGGCCGGGCCGTCTGGCCGCTGACCTGCCTGCTGCTGCTCTCCCTGCGCGGTTGGCCAGGTAAGCCACGGCCCCGACCCGCCACGGGCTCTCCTGCTCCTCTCACCCTGCTGTTCTCTTGTGGGTTGGCTTGTTTGTTTGGTTTTTTTTTATTATTATTATTAATTTTTTTTTTTAATTTTTTTTTTTTCCTTCCCCTCCATCCTCATCTCTCCTCTCTGCTGCCCCTCCGCCGCACACCTCCCGCGCCGCGACATGATGCTCTCTCTCGCCGCGCACGTTTGGTTTGACCTTTCTATGAGATGACCTAGAGCGCGGCGATGGCAGAGGGGGGAGCAGGGCCCTCGCTCGGCGGCTCCTCTAGAAGCAAACTTCAAGGCAGACATTCCCCTTTCCAGCGAGACGAGGGAATTAGGCAGGGACGTGAAGAGGCATGTCGTTTCCACCCATTTGCTCGCACCCCCTGCCAGCTATGTGAGAGGCAAATCTCTGCAAGCGGCCCAAATTCCCGCTCGGAGGCTGCCTGGGGATGGGGAGGATGGTGGAGAGGGCAAGGGGAGGCTCTGGGGAGGGCTGCCTGCCTCCTCTGCTGGAAACTTGTTTTTTCTTGCTGCCCCCCTGCTTCACCCCCGATGGTATGCAGTTCTTGCTGCTCTACCCAACTGTTGAGCACCAAAGCGGTGGGATTGCACCATCTTCCCAGGCACCTTGCACCACCCAGCCCTGCTGCGAGCACTGGGTCACCTCGGGCTCCTGCTGCTTCCCCCTCCCCGGGTGACCCAGCCCTCCCCAGGGCTTGTGGCTCCGCCAAGTCTCTTATAAAAGCTTGGGGCTGCAGCACGAGAAGGGGTGATCAGTGCGTGTGCTGCTCCCTGGCTGTTTCCCTTCCCTCACTAGCAGTGGGAAGTTTCTCGCCCCACCAGGAACGAAGCCCTGTGGTGGCTGCTGCTTTCAAGGATGTTTCCTTTCTAGGATGTTTCGTTTCAGTGCTGATCATCTCGAGTGATATTGCTAAGGAATCGCTCTCCTTCCTGTCCTTGCACTGTCTGCACCTCTGGGGATGGACGGGGCTTTTTGCGCAAACCTTGTGTGGCAACAGCGATGAGCGTTCAGGAGCATCTT